TCCTGCTGATAAGCTTTTATACTTTGACCGTTCCAGGCCAACCTGCGGCTGCCCCGTTCACACTGAGAGGCCCTCACTTCCTTCACCCCTCCCAAACTATCAGAAGGGCGTAAGAGGACCGTGAAGGTGGCTGGGGTTGGGCCCTGAGCTGACTGACGAGGGAGAGGACCTCGTGGTGCCGGGCCCCGGGCACGACAAACGCCTGAGCAGAAACCAGGTGCCTAGACCTAGTGCAGATCTGCGCCTGCGCTAAAAGCACCGCTCCCGTGAGCCTTCGCGGCCAAGTCTCTTCCTGTCCAAGAGGCCCCAGTCATTGTATTCGGTGGAGCTGAAAGGCATGTGCAACAAAGCGTGATGGGAAATAGATTCTAGAAGCAAGAACAGGCGGAAGCCTCTCTAGGAAATACGGTCCACGCGGGTGTGCGGGTCACAATCTGGCTCCGAGAAACAAGAAAAGAATTTGGCCAGTAACGAGCCCGGAGATTTCTGGGAAATGGAGTCCGGTGGGCCAGGGAGGCATGTGCGCATGATCGGAAGTGGCGCTATTCAGGCGCGTCCCCTTTGGAGCGAGAGGCGGGTCTGCGGCCGCAGCTTCTGAGCTCGTGTTGGTGGCGGGAGCTGGGAGCTTTCTCGCGAAGCTGGCAGCGGCTTTTTCACGTGGTGTTCTGCCTGAGACCGAGGCAGGTGCTCCCCAGCTGAGGCCTGGCTGTGGCTGGGGAGACAGTGAGAGACCCGGCTGGACAGGCCGGACCGGGCTCAGCACCGCAGGCTCAGATCCGGCCTTTAAGGGGAGAGGCCTGAGAGAAGAGCCCAGAGCGGGGCTGGCGCTGCAGTGAAGCGACGCTGACGCTCAGAAAACTGCTGGGAGGCGGTGGCGCGAGGTGGGACCCAAATGCTGGAGGAAGGAGGTGAGACGGAGTGGTGGAGCGGTTTGTGGCTTCCAGCTTGTCCGCTAACAGTGCTGTGTGACCCAGATCAGAACTCGGCGGTCATCCTTTCCACAAGTGGTTGGGGGACGATCGTTTTTGTAGAACAAAGAATTCCGGGGTCAGAAAAGTTTGAGGAGCTCAACCCTGGATCATCTCTGAGTGTCTTGTCCCTTTCTCCGATCTGTTGATGGACCCATGGCGTTAGAAAGTAGAGAGAAATGGGCCCTGGGAAGGAAAATGGAATTTACTCAGGGCCTCCTCTATTGCTTTTGATCTTCCAGCCCTCTTGAAGCATCAGGGATATTCGGAATGGGAGCCCGTTGGCTTCACCTCATATTGAGGATGGGTTCAACCCAGTTGGATTGTGAAATCGTGGAGGATACTGGAGATCTAGAATCAGAAGGCTAGGATTCCTGTTTAAGCTCTGGGGTACCAGCCAGTTTTCTTAGCCTGTGTTTCTTCATGGAGGAAAAGGTAAAATAACGTTAACTACCTCGTTCACCTCTTAAGAACTGTAAGCATCAAATAAAATGACGCTTTTGAAAGCACCTTTTTTAAACTGAGATATCATTTACATGCATTCACTTTTAAAGTGTACAATTCAGTAGCCTTTAGTATATTAACAAAGTTATGCAACCATCACCTTTTTTTTTTTTTTTTTTTTTTTTGGCTGCGGCATGCGGCCTCTTAGTTCCGCAACCAGGGATCCAACCCATGCCCCCTGCACGGGTCTTAACCACTAGACCACCGGGGAAGTCCATCACCATTATTTAATTCCAGAACATTTTTTATTTAATTCCAGAACATCACCCCAGAAAGAAACGGGTATTACTCCACATTTTCCCTTCCTCCTAGTTCTGGCAACCATTAATCTATTCAATACTTTCTGTCCTCATGAATTTGCCTATTCTGGACATTTCATGAAAATAGAATCATACAATATATGTGTCTGGCTTCTTTCACTTAGCATAACGTTTCAAGTTTCATCCATGTTGTAACATGAAGGAATCTACGTTTTATGGCTGAATAATATTCCATTACATGGATTATACCATGTTACATTTATCTCTTCCTTAATTGTTGGACATTTGGGTGGTTTCCAGTTTGGGCTATTATGAATAATGCCATAAACATGCATGCACAAGTTTTTGTGTGGATGTGTTTTCATTTTTATAGGGTTTACATATACTTAGGGGAGGAATTATTGTATAACTCTGGTAACTTTGGTAACTCTGTTTAACTTTCTCAGGAACTGCCAGACTTGTTTTCCACAGTGGCTGCACCATTTTACATTCCCAGTAGTAATGTATGAGGATTTCAGTTTCTCTACATACTCCTCAACACTTGTTTTTTTTCCATCTTTTTAATTTTAGCTATCTTGTTGTGAAGTAGTATCTCATAATGGTTTGATATGCATTTCTCCAATGACTGATGATGCTGAGCATCTTTTCATATACTTAATAGCTGTTTGTATCTTACTTAGAGAAATACCTATTCAAATCCATTGCCCATTTTTAAGTTGGGTTATTTGTCTTTCTTTGTTGAGTTTTTAATATAAAGAATTCTTTTTATATTTTGGATACTAGACCCTTAGAAGATATATGATTTGCAGATCTCAGTGTCCTTTAAAGCACAGAGTTTTTAATTTTTATGAAATCCAGTTTAGCTTTTCTTTTGTTGCATGTGCTTTTGGTATCATGTCTAAGAAACCCATTGCCTAATCAGAGGTCATAAAGATTTATATCTGTATTTTCTTCTAGAAGTTTTAGCTTTTACATTTAGGTCTTTGATCCATTTGGGGTTTTTATGTATGGTGTGAGGTAGGAGTCCAGCTTCATTCTTTTGCATGTAGATATCCAGTTGTCCCATCTCTATTTTTCTGAAAAGAAATTTAATTTCTTGGCACTCTTGTTGAAAATCAGTTGTCCATAAATGTATGGATTTATTTCTGGACTCTCAGTTCTTCTCCATTGATCTATATGTCTATCCTTATATCAGTTCCACACTATTTTAATTACTGTTGCCTTGTAGAAAGTTTAGCTCTTCTGTAATTTCCTTGAACAATGTTTGGTAATTTTCAATGTAATGTCTTTCACTTTTTTTTTTTTTTGAGATTTGATGATTTTTTATTAAAGAAAGGTATCTAAATGGAAGCAAAAGTAACAGTATCCATAAAAATATTTGTTCTGAAATATTTACACATTAAAAAAACAAAGAATTAGGATTGAGAATAACATCCATTTATGAGAAATTGCTCTGAGCTTAACAGATACCTCAATGTCTGTAGGGAATGATTTTCTCAATTAAAGACTTTATGGTCTACAGAGAAAGGTCAACTAGAGGTGTCAACAATTTTAAATCTATTACATATAAAATGCAGTGTTGAGGATGATGTGTGAAATTTAATTTTAAAAATTAAAAAATAATATTTTGAAAAAACAACTTTAAGAAGAATACTAGTGACAAGAGATTAGAGGTAGATATGGCTAAGACAGTAAAGTAAATTAATCCATACCAAAATAAGTATCCTACCTATGTTATTTATACTTTTTTGCTTATAACATCAGTAATCAAACTCTTGCACTTCTTTTGTTCAGTTTATTCCTAGGTGTTTTGTTCTTTTAATGCTCTTGTAGATGGAATTTAAAATTTCATTTTTGGATTGTTCATTACTAGTGTATAGAAATACAGTTGGAGAACTGTTTATTCAACCCTTTGCCCATTTTTAATTGAGTTTTTTTTTTATTGTATATTCATGTTGTATCCTGCAACCTTGCTGAACTTGTTTAGCTGTGATAGTTTTCTGTGGATTCCTTAGGATTTTCTGTATACAAAATCATGCCATTCACAAGTACAGGTAGTTTAAATTCTTCCTTTCCAATCTGTATGCCTTTGGTTTGCTTGTTTGCTTGTTTTTGCCTAATTGCTCTGGCTAGAACTTCCAGTGTAATACTGGTTAGAAGTGGCAAAAGCAGACATCCTTGTCTTGTTCCTGATCTTAGGGGAAAAGCATCAGTCTTTAGCTCTGGGTTTTTTGTAAATGCCTCTTACCAAGTTGAGGAAGTTCCCTTCTGTTCCTAGTTTATTGGATGTGTTTTATCATGAAAGGTATCAGATTCTGTAAAATGGCCTTCTTGGTGTTCACTGAGATGATCATATGGGGGTTTTTTCCCCCTTTGTATTAATATAGTGTGTTATACAGATTGATTTTCATTTGTTGAACCAACCTTGCATTCCTGGGATGAATCCCACGTGGTCATTACCTCTTTTTTTGATTAAGCAAATGTCTTAAATTTGCAGAGCCACTTTCTCCAAGGAACTTAATTGGTAATAGTTGTAAGCTGTATATTTACATGCTAGGCATTGTGTCAACTGCTTTGTCTGCATTTAAATCTTCACAGCAACTTTACATGGGATATTATCCTCATTTTACAGATGAAAAAAATGAGACTTAGAGAGGTTACATGATTTGTACACTGCTGGTAAGTGGTAGATCTGGAATACTTGAGAGTCTGTTACACTCTAATGCCTCCCTATGTTTGAGTGAATTGATGGAACTTCTGAGGTAGGAAGGGAAATTGGAAAATTTCTATCCCATTGCAGGTCTGCAAATTCAGCCTCAGTGAGCCCTGGGACCTATAATGTCATTTGAACACTCTCTTCAGAGTGAAAATTTGAGACTTTCTAGCTTGGTGAGATGTAAATTTTATTCCTCATTGCTTTCTTTCTCTTCCTCCAGAGCCACCTTCTCCAGATCCTGCCCTTCCCCAAGAGGAAGGCACAGAAGAGGAAGGAATGGCAGGTGGTCTCCTCACAGCTGGGCCCCAAGTAAGTTGGAAATTTACTCTGAAAGGCAGCCTCTTTTTTTCTTTTTTTTTTTTAATATTAAGGGTGTTTTGGGTTTTTAATTACAAAAGGAATTCATGTTCTTTGTAGAAAACCTGGAAAGTGTAGACAACATACCCCCCCAAAATTACACTTAATCATACAAAGAAATAACACTTAACATTTTGATTTGTGTCCTTTTAGTCATATTCTTTTTTTTCTGTTTTCCCCAAATGGGTTTGTCCTGATTTGTAATCTTCTTTTAATTTACACTTAGTAGAATTTGATTAATATTTCCCCAATTTCATTAAGAGTATTCTACAGAATTATTTCTAATAAATTCCATTTCATAGTCCTTCTATGAGAGTAAGAACTGTCTTCTCCCTTTCTTTTTCTTGACTAGACTAGGAATTGGTCTGTTTTCATTTTTAGAACACCTGCTCTTGGATTTCCTTATCAGTTCTACTCTTTATTAACAAAATTTTCTGTGTTAGTTTTTTTGCTTCTGCTTTCCTTAGATTTATTTTAAAATTCACTTTTCAAAATCTCTTGAGTTGAATCCCCTAATTCATTTTCTTCCTATTTTGTTCATATATATTGAATATTTTTGGTGGTGGGTCTTTATTTTTTTAGATATGCCAAAATTGTGACTTTGGTTTCTTGTCTGCACATTTAGCTGGTCTGTGCTCCATGCAGGCAAAGTTTGTGTCTCTTCTCTACACAAAACATCCAGGTATAGTGTGATTGCAGCTGTAGGGTTTATGGCTCAACCTTATTAAATTACTCATTTCTTCCATACCTTTATTTTTTGGTTTATTTTGTATTAACTCTGTTAACAACTAAGTTGTTTAACATCTCTCATAGCTATATTTTAAATTTCTCCTTGTACTTCCTACAGTTTTTTCTTTATGAATTATATATTTGTTATTTGGTTCATGACCCTTATATCTTCATAATGGATTTTACTCTCTCGATTATTATAAAATGACCCAAATGTTTTAAATATTCCATCATTTTTTAAAATGACCCTCTTTGTCCCGTTTAGTGTATTTCTCAGTGTGAAGGATGTATTGGAAGGACAGGTAAAATTAGAAATCAGGAAACTAGTTATGATTTGGGAAACGATGGTGGCTTAAAGCAAGGTAGTGGCAGGGGCATGGAGAGAAATGCATGAATTCTCATGATATTGAGGAGGAAGAATGAATATGCAGTTGACATGTGGGGAGCTGCAAGAAAGGGGAAGATAGCACTCAGTTGTCTGACATGGCCAACTAGGTGACTGGAGGTACCATTTCCTAAGCTGAAAATAGGCAAAGACCCCCTTGCCTCCGTGCCTTTGCTCCTGATGCCTCCGTTGCCTTGGACATCCTTCTCTTTCTCCATCTGAGGAACCTGCTCCTTGAAGGCCAGGTTGCCCTCCATCTATGATTCCTCCTCTGTTATCCTAGCAACTAATCTGTCCGTCTCTTTGACACATTATTACAGGTGGTTGCATACGTGCTGGCTCTCCTGCTGTACTGTGTGATGTCTGAGTAAGCAGGAATATTTATTAAATTTTCTGAAAACATTAATCATTCACATTTCTTTGCTAATTTGCAGCTGATTCCTTGTTGCATAAACTCACACATTCTAATTTTGTTTTTTCTATATTGGCACTTTTAATTCCCAAGCACCTGTTAGTTCTGCCCAATTACTGCTCATATATATACATAGTTTTTTCTATTTATGTATAAAGTCTACTAGAATTATAAAACATGTAAAGACAAGAGAGACTGTATTTTATTTATTTTTGTGCATCAATATCCAATATAGTGTTAGGCACATAAGAAGTGATCAATAAATGCTTTTCTGGAACTACCCTGAGTCTTTTCAAAGACCCTTTGTAGGCCCGCTAACCAACACACCCAAAGCTGCCAACCTCCCTACCCCCTCATATTCTAAGGCCACTGGGCAAGAAGGAATATGCTTGTTGTTTCAGGGATCCACACCTTTCAACAGTATGACTGTAGCTTTTACCCAGAAGGGATGGAGGCAGTTGGCCCCTACTCCGAGGGACAGGTTCAAGAAAGGGATGCCAGAAAAGTCCAGAAACCTGGTCCTACTGGGTAAGGAAACCACTTAAAATGCAGAATTTGTTCAGTTCTGAAAATGTTTTACTTCCAGTGTCGAGTGATCCTGAGTGGCTCTGCTGCACCAGAGGGGTAGTGTTTGTTCCTCCTCATTCCCTAGTGAAAGATCTCTGCATTCTGGTTTGGGAAATAGGCAGTTTCATTTTGTTCCCCACGAGGCTGCACCTCCCCATTTTCTTATTTCCCAGGAAGGGTGGGGTAGCCTTCAGGCCAGTTCCTCCATAGTCACTAAGTTCCCAACTTCTTAATTATCTGGCTTTATGGGCTTGCTTAGCTCCCTGGCTTGACCCCTCCTTGAGGCTGTTACTTTAGCTCTTTTCAGAAATGCTCTACTAAGACCTTGGCACCGTATCTATCTTATTTACTGCTGTGTCCCCTAGTGCCTGGTACCAAGTCAGTGCTCAATAAATATTTGTTGAATGAATGAAATGAATGACCTGTTTCCACTCCCCTCAGTTCTGGGAAGCTATTTATACTTAGTACAGATCTCTAAACCCCACTTTTTTCCCCCTTAAATAGGACTTCCAGTCTCCCAACCTGGTATGAACTCCCAGTTGGAACAAAGGGAAGGTTCATGGATGCTAGAGAGAGAAGGCCTAAGGAGTACCTGTCCAGGTATGTGAGCAAGCACTAAGCCAGTCAGAGTCTCGGGAGCAAAAGCCCCTTTGAAACATATGTTAGTGCATTTGAGTATTTTAACAGCTGGTGAGGTAGATATTATTATCCCCATTTTATAGATGAAGAAAATAAGGCTGAGAAAGGCTAACTCACTGGTTCAGAGCCTCACAGCTAGAAAGCAGCGAGGCTGGGGTTTGAAGCAACATCAGTCAGACTCCAAAGCCCTCTATTCCACGCTGTCTACTCAGTCTCCAGGCTGGGAGGCATTTGGGAGCACTGGTGGTATTGCTGGCCTCTGGGAAATGAGAGTCATCTTTGCCGGCCTAGCACATTCCCTGCTTCGGGTTCACCTCACTGAGGATCTCAAGTACCCACCTTTAGCCATGCTTCAGCTGTGACACCTACTGCTACTCCCCTCTCTGACTAACCCTTTATTGGATTCTGCACCCACACCCTTTCTCTCCCTCTTCGTGGCCATGCTGGAATTTTCTGAAGGGCTGATACTAAGAAACTTAGGGAAAACGAGCAAGGGAAACCATAATTTCTGCCTTTATCTCTTGCTACTCATCTAAGGCTGCTCACTCCACCCCCACCTTCATATTTCAGCCCTTGCAAATGTCTGACCTCTGGCAGGGCCTGTGGTTCCAGCCACTTCTGATATTTTGAAACTTAAAGCATCAGAAGTACAATGAACTTAACAACTTTAAAGCGACAAAATTTTAAATTTTTCTAAAAATGCGGTCTAATGCTTTATATCTTTTATGGTTGCTGTAGGACAATGAAAACAAAGCCTCTGGCTTACTTTGTGCATGGTTCATCTGAACTCTCTTCTTCACATTTTATCCTCTTTCTAAGCAGCCTATCACATGTCACCTCAGCCCTTGTAACTCCGGGCACAACTCACACTTGCTGAAATACTTCCCTTTACCGGGAGCCTCACTGCTTGCTGCTTCCTTCTCCCAAAGCCCCTGCTTCCCAGCACAGCATACTTGTTATGCAGGACCTTTAACCTGAATCCAGAGAACCCTGTGTGGTACTTTGGGAATTGAATACAGTGTTTTGTGGCAATAACTGCATCTTTCTGGGAAAAGATTTCATCACAGTCTCAGAGGGGTTCAGGATCCTATAAAGGTTACTGAAAAAAATTCAAATCACCATGTCACTAGAAACGGAAGTTGGGAAAAGGTGTTACCACAAAGGATCTGTGCCCTGAGGTATTAGTGTAGAGTATTAGTGTGGAAGCAGCTTCGGATGTGGACCCATGAAAGATGCATCCAGGTCCTGGCTTGCTACATACTAACTACATGGATTCAGAGTAAACCACTAAACTGTGGTCGTCTGTTTCTATATCTGAAAAAATGTGGATAACAAAACCTGTCTCACTCTTTGACAAACTAATATATTTGAAAAAAAGTTGTCAACGATGTAGGGCGGTATTAATTCTGTAATAGTGAAGTAGCTGGAGGGAAGTTTTAAACCTGGCTATTAGAGTAACTAAAACACTGCTCCTGTGATGTCGCACCTCTGCTCTGAGACCCACCAAGCATCCTGGGCATCGCTGTGCCTCCTGGGCTGGTTTCATAGCTATTATTCCATCCCACCCCTCCCACCGTGACAGACAGACCCAGGTCTTCGACCTGCCTTTGCCTCACTGCGTGGTACATGCCTGGCGTTGTTTTAGCTACTGGAGGTGCAACAGAGAACAAGATGTAGGCCCTGCTTACATCCTAGTGAGGAATGTAGATAAAGCAAGTAAACAAAATAACCGATACAATATTGGATGGTGATGAGTACTGTAAGAAAGGGGAATACGGGTGGGGTGGGGGCTCTCCTACATCAGATGGACAGGGAAGACCACTTTGAAGAGGTGACACTGGAGCTGAGATCTGAAGGAAAAGAATGAGCCAGCCATATAAGTATATGGAGGAGGAACATTCTGGGCCACACCACGTGTTGAGGCTTTGAGTTGGGAATAAGTTAGACTTGTGTTAGGATGAGAAGAGCCTAGGACTCAGTAAACAAGAGGGAAGGTGCTGGGCAGGGGTCAGATCATGTAAGGCTTAGAGGCCATGGGAGGCATTCAGGTTTTATTCAAATAGGAAGATAGGAAGCCATTGAGGGTTTTGAGCAGGGAAGGGATAATATTTGTGTTTGAAAAGATAACGTGTGGAGACTAGACTTTCAGTGTTCAAGACTAGAAGCAGGGAGATCAGTTAGGACATTCCAGTGAGAGGATGGTGGCGGCTGAAGAGGAGGATTCAGGACATACTTGGGTGTTAAAGCCAACACGACTTGCTAGTGGACTGGATGTGAGGGAAAGA